TGACAGAGGCAACCACAGGTCCCAATGCTCAGCAGCTGCTGGAGGAAAATGCACAGAACAAAGGGCTCAGGGTGTGCTCAAGGAGGGAGTGGCACACATCACTAAGAGGCCTCTTATCCAAAGTGCGCTCATTTGTGCTAAGTGGTGTTTGCAAAAACAAAAATTTGGAGCTCTGATCGATACTATTATTAGGGTGTCATACTATTTGAAACTGCACGTTAAGGCAAAGAGTGTTAAGAGACAGATTTCTTGTTCTCCTACATGCATATRAAGTTCACGTGATTATCACTGGACAAGTCTCCATATGGAAAACTGATCTGCCACACTTCATTTTGTGCAGGTTTGTGGTACCAAGCACCATGTAGTGATGTTTTGTAAGTTCCAAACTTCTCCTAAGACATAGTTTTTGTTTGATTTTTGCTTGAGATCACTTGAAACCTCATCTTTTGCAATTTATATTAGCCTATGGAGGCGAGGGACCTGTCTTTTGAGAGAACAATCTAGCACAATGTCCCTCAGGCCTTCTCCACATTTCTCTGAGAGTTTGGAGGTCTTTGTTAAAAAAAAAMAAAMCAAAAAAACAACTTGCTTTATTTCTGTGTGATGATTAGCCTTTATATTACTTTAACATTCTGAGATCCATATAAGACGATAAGCTAGTGTTAAACATATACAGTGTGTACCTGTAATTCATTTTCAGGAAAGTCTCTTGCTGGTAAATTTGTCTACTTGAATGTTTTAACTTTATTGCAATTCCTGGTGCTATGTAATTGTTCATTTATCTGGATGAAAGATGCCTTTTTGTTCAGAGACCTGCTTTGTTGTAGTTCAGATAGGAGAACATGCTCCTCCTCTTTAGACTCAAGGTACTTTGAAATTCAGGTTAGGAAGGGAACAACAGGTCAGAATGGGCATAGTTTTAAAGTAGAACCTTTTAATCTGACTAAAAGCTTGTAGCTCTCTTAATGTATAATTGAAAACTGTATAGATTCTCCTAAATATTTGAAGATACTAATCTGAATACAAGGGAAGTCAGCATAAAGCTTCAGTTCTCCACCCAGTTTTGTAGCTTTCCATGTTAGCTCGCAAGAGGTTCAAGATTGTGACTTAAGCTTTTTCTTTCAGTGACAATGATTAGCATATCCTCCAATATGCAGAAAGGCTTTGCAGTCCTCTGCAGAAGAATCTTCTTCATATGAAAGCCTGTAAATTGTTGATCTAATAGAGCTTCAGCTGTATCACTATAAAAAGGTATAATATAGTGCAGTATGGTGATGCTAATTCTGGTAACTGACTCMATTTTAGCATGTCTACATACTCTAGTCCAGACTACACTGCACCTGCTCCATCCATGTGCTCCACTGTCCAGCTGCAAGCAATTCTTGGCAAAGAATCAAGTATCTGCATGGGGCTTGATGCCATGCTAAGCCRTAAGTCTTGAGCAGAGTTGCATAACTTAACACAACCCTCCTCTGCTATTTATTATGATTGTCTTGCCCACCAGGCTGCTCTTGGGAGATGGAACCTCTTTGCTCAGTGCTGTGCTAATTTCCTCTGTAGTGAGAGAAACCAGCTCTTTCTTGATTGAATAAAACCTTGTGGTTTCTGGACCAAAGCAGATGTGCAGTGAGGCACTCCARCAGTGAGTGCACACCTGACTGCAAAGCATCTTCTAAACACCTCTTTTTCTTTATTCTCTCAGTTATGGAGAAAGGATCTTAAACATGCCCCTTARAAGGTTTAGAATAAAAAGGCCAATATACACTACAGCTTAGTTTTCTCTGCATTTGTGCTAACAGATACAGGACCATGTTCATAAGCCCTTATTGACAAACATAGGTTGATTTTATTATACAYACATACAGTTCTGTGTACATAGATTTCCACACCTAAATGGTTGCCTTTCAGTGTGTGTAAGCTTCACCTCAGGACTGTTCTGATATGGCAGTGATCTTTCCAGGCTATGGCTGGCTTGTACTTGCGTAGCCAGGAGTGCTGGCTTAAATTTGTGTCTGTTTCTACCTGAGCATTTAGATCTGCTGATGCAAAGGTGGAATTCTGAAATTGACACACAGGAGCATTAGCTCCTTCCTACTCTTTATTTTGTTGCTTGTCACCACTTAATAAATATTCTGAGTGTGGACTAAAATGGCAAAAAGACTTTAAGGACTTTGATTTCAAAAATGGAACAGATATGAACAAAAAGTTTGGCAGATGCAGAGAACACTAATCAGAAAACCTTCCGTGGAAAAAACTTACTAATAGTTTTTCGTAACTTTTAGTTAGGGGAAAAGAGTTTTCAAACAATTTTCATTTTTAGTATTGATAAGGGTTACAGATTTTATTCTGAATTTTAAACACATTTAACACCTTTTATTCTTTTATGCTTAGATATGCTTTTAGTGTGTGGCATATCAATTTGAACTTTTACATATGATCTGACATGGAAAGAGTCTTACAATTTGCAAAACAGTATATTTATCACTTATCWTTACTCTAATGATGACAGTGATTCAGACCCAGACTGGGGAGCCATGGGTCTGAAATAACTCACAAGGTACGGACCTCCAGAAGGCTTTTAGAGCTCCTAAGCTGGATACCAAACTTTAAGATAGTAAATCTCTTTCCATATTAGATACAKCCTCATGGAGCAGCAGGAAGTAAAGAAAAGCTGAGTTGTCACAAGTCTGTGTGGAAAGAACTGCAGGCTTAAAATACATAATGATTTACAGAATCAAGAACTGCTGAGTATTTGCAAACATAAAACATATGAATGTATTATTCTGATTCTGAAAAAAAAAACTAAATGTAAGTAAAAAGTACTATGTAAATCAATGCATTTAATTTTAAGCATGGTGAATAGGCTTATTTGTGATCTTACATTTCATTCCTTTTGAGCAAGGTATCCTTGCTCCATGTCTTTTAAAAAGCAGACTAGCAACATGGCTCCCAAGAAACTGATAAATGCAATCAGTGTCTGGAATGTAGTGAAAAGAACGAGTTTAATAGCAACTGAAAGCTGAATTTTCCTACTGGTGAAACTAAGGCAAGAGGTGCATGAAGCTTTACAATTGTAACATGGTAAATATGCCATATACTTTGAGAAAGACTCCTTGTCATTTGTAAACAATCTTTCAAAGAAGTTTCCATTTAACTTACAGTTTCCAAGATCTATCATAATGATATGCTTTCCTTTTGGTGATCATATATGCTGACAATGACAGAACAAAAGTTTTGGAAACAAAAAGTCAGTAATGGAATTTGTGGTACTACAAAAGTCAAACAAGAGAAGACTAAAAGGAGTTTAGCGCCAGGAGTAAGAAAATCAAACCAAGACTACTTTGTGCTCTTCTGAATAGAAGTTTATAGCCATCCTTTCATGTACTGGATTCACATGCAGCACTTTAATGCCTTCTGAAATCAGGTGTTACAAGAAAAAAAATCATAACATGCTGAAAAKGCAGAAAAATTATTTGTAGTGAGCTTGAAGGTAAATTAATATGTAGAACTGAAGTATTACATGATGACATCATTTGTTTTTTCCTTGAAAAAGAAAGAAAGGAATCCAAAATAATTTGGCAGGTTGTTACAGAATGCTACTGATGGAAACAATCCTGATGTATCCCACCATTGCATAAAGCTGTGGCAATAATACTAAATTCAGRCTCCTGAGTCCTAATGAGTAAAAGAAATGGAGAGGTCAAAGATGACAGCTGCTCTTTCACAACAGAATTAGCCAGTTCAGTACTTGTAACTAGATCTTAATTAAAATTGACATATTGACAAGAATTTTCAAAGTGGAGTTACAATTATTAAAAAACCCAGTTGTGCAAAAAAAATGAGTCTTACACATATTAAAAAGATGTAAACAATGAAAGAGCTAGTTCAAGCTGACAGGAGAAAAAGGAATGTATTCAAGCTACAGCAAGTATATTTCACATTCAATGTCAAGAAAAGTGTTCTAAACTAAATGCAAAAAAAAAAAAGGAGAAAAAAGAATCCTAAAACTTGACTATTAAATTCAATATTATTAATCACTACTGGCCTCATGGCCACTCACAATTTCATCTAGTTAAGGACTACACTAGAAAAGTATTAGCACTATATTATCCCCATCTTTTCCTTTGGAAATGAACTCCATAAAAACAAAAGCAGAACTGCAAATACAATGCATACTGCTTGTTATTTCCAGTCACAAAATACCACAGTCTGTAAATAAGGCACGCCAAAGGCATGCAACTGTCCTGCTCTAGGGGCAAAAGTACGGCAAAGTCATCATCTTTCTCAAGGACACAAAAAGTGTTGGATAAATTGCTGACCTTTTTAAAAGCATGCAACACTTCTGGATGTCACTTTTACATTCATCATTTATACATTCGTAACACCAGAAAAGGAAAATCCTTTAATTTAAATAGGCATAAAGTGTCTGCTGTTTTTGAGATTAGGTATTTGGCTTGGGGAATTCCGGTTGCTGGAAAGAACAACTCTGATGTGTTGCCCAGCAGGTCTCTGCYCTGACTTCCTGCATTACTTTTTCCTGCCTATCCTTGCTGACCAGAAGTCACAGTGTCTCATGGAGCAATGTACATTTCCTTCATTGTGCAAGTTGGTTACTTCTAGGCAGACGTAGTGTTCCTTAGGAACAGTCAGCCRTGTCTACTTGTTTAGCTACAGATGTCACCCTTGTCTGTAAACCAGGGGAGTGGCAGGCTGGCATATTTTGTTAATAGCAAGTACTAAAAAATACCACATMAAGTCAAATAATTCCCTGTCTGTAACTAGAAATTCTGAATGCAAGTTGCATGTTTTGAATGCAGTAGCATTCAAACTTACCCAGTTTTGCTATTGTGCAGCAAAAACTAGGAGAAATGTTAGTCAAAACCTTTTCACTAGTGCCTACCAGTGACTATGCTTTCTTTGATTTGTTTGTGGTTTCTTTTTGGTTTTTTTTTTTTTTTTTTTTTTTTTTTTTTTTTTTTTTTTTTTTTTTTTTTAGTAGGAGACATTTCTTTATGCATGAAAATAAATTACTATATTACTCTACTGCTGTAACTCCAGTCTACAGCTGGCTTTTTACAGGAGTTTTTGGAAATATTGCTGGAAGTGTTTTGCTAAGCTTGACTGCATAGCAGGAACCAYGGGGATTACCCAAACATGATGTATACAGAACACTGTGCTGCCACCACACAACCGTGTATACTGTAAGTCTGTGGGTCAGTCACTCACTCCAGAACCACAAGGAAGGCAGTGGAGAAAGTAACAACCCAACACTTTCAAAACCCAAATAGCATTATTAGGAGACTTCTGGCTTGAAAGTGATACTTTTGTTCGGGACAAACTTACCTGGCATAGTTACAAGATTCTGAATAAGTAAACAGGACTTTGCCTGTGCTTTTTGCATGCCAGTAGCTTAACAAATAGTCAGTTTAAAAGATCATTGCCATGGGTATTTCATAAATAATTTTATATACATAAATACATATGTATATATATATTATCTATGTGTCTGTGTGTGTGTGTGTGTGTGTGTGTGTATGTGTACCAATGCATGTCAAATAAAAGCCCTACAAATATTTTAAAAACCCATAGCTTACACTGAGACTTATTTTCTAGGATAAACTATATTTTTAATTAATCACTTCAGAAATCAAAGCTGCCTGTGACCTTTTAAAATGACTATACATATACAGCACACTGTTAGATTAATATTGATTTTTTTTTCCCCCTCCACTGCAAGCAAAGTTTAGACAGTTAGCTTTGATACTGAGAAATAATTATTAAGCTTCAATTTAGTTTCTTAAARGTTCATAATTAGGTTTTTTGATTGTGATCTTTTTTTTTTTGATTGTTAGGTCCAAGTAATCAAGCAACTATGTGCAGAAATTTACCTTTTKATTATATTAGATTATGTTTTGTAGTAGTAAAGCTTGTTTGAAGTGCATGAATAAAAAGTGAAATTACAGGAAGAACAATCTAATACAGCAATAATAGGTGCATTCACTGTGCATCTGAGAGGAGGAGGGGGGAAAAAAGAAGAGTTTTCACTCATTTTGGCCTAAAATGTGTTCAGGTTTCCAGAATTCTGACATCAGAACCCAGATAACGCTGGCTAGAACCATAGGGCTTTACAATAAAAGCTAAAATATTGACCATATGATGGCAAAGAGTCTTTATTTTGTGGTTAACTTATTCTCTTCTAGCTACTCTCAGATGAAGTTGGTGGTGCTGTGGAGGATGATCTCCTTCTTCTTGACAAAGATCGTGATCTTTCAGCACTGTAGGCAACATGCTTATCGTAATTTTGTATCTGGGCTTCGAGGAATTCCCTCTGTTGCTGGCTGATTGTCTGGCTAATCAGTCCAGGAAGAGCTTGAATGCTACCAATTAAAGTTTCCAGTTTAGTTTCCAGAGTAACAATTCTCTTCTCAAAATCTTCGCTTCTTTCATTTAAGTCAGAAATCATGTCATACATGATGTTTTGAGTCTGAAAGTAGAAGGATGTAAGTAAAGGTTTTAGAAACACCTTACAAGGATTGTAACAAGCAGCACAACTCTACCAGGGTTTGTAAAAGAGGATATTATAACAATATCTAGTCTTGTGAAATAATCATCCCTGCAGATTAAATTACAGTAGGCTAAACTTCTACTAGATTTCTTGAGTGGAAATGTCACGCCTTTTAGTAGCACTTTAGAATGTCAAAGTCGAAATCAGTTAAAGATCAGACCTTCTTTGAAAATTCAGGAGCTTGGGAGTGCACCAGGCTAAGCTGTCTGAACAGTCAGTAGTGTAAACCACCAGGAGACTGAAGGATCCAGTGATGTGATCCATCCTTAACTGTTCTCGATTCTGGTTTTAAACATTTCATTCTTGTAAGCAGAGCACAAATGTTCCCTGGCTTTCTCTTTAAAATGAGCAGATTTTCCTGAATTGGCAGTAAGAGGAGTTGAGTGGATTGTTTTTGAAAAGGTAGTGCAAGGAGTAAAAACTCAATTTTATGCTTTTTTGTTTCTGCACTCTCCAGTCTATCTGCCCTCTACATAACACTGTTTTTGATACAACAAATACACAGAGTGCATTTTTAAATGACACAGTGGTCAGTAAAAATGTAATATGAAATGTGCTATTTCATAGAGACTTGGAATTGGTTAAAAGTAATGGCTGCATGTCTGCCTCTAATAAACTGAGACTTCAAACTATTTAAACTACAGCCAAAACTGGATTCATTCAGTAGAAAAACCAGTTGAAATTTATAAGCCATCCAAAGGAAAGAAAATTAATTGAATGATGGCCTGAAGTGTAAACCACTTCAGTATCAGGTGAGTGTTATAGACCATTTCTCTGCCTCCTGTATCAGGATGCTAGCATAACTCTTAAAAGTGAAGTAGTCTACATGAACAGTATCTTAAAAGTCCTTGTTATTTGCCAGAAGCAGTAGACTGAACTGTATTTTCACCTGAAGTTGTCATGGTTCTGTGAAGCAAGAAGGAAATGAACACTGAAGAGTTTAATTTTTACYCTGCAAAAATTGAGGAGGATTTTGAGGTAAATGAAGAGGTGTACAAGAAATCCTTAGGAAGAACCCATTAATGCTTCTAACGTACCCTCAAATTAAGATCACAGTAACTGTTAAATATTAAGATCCAGTGAGAAATCCAAAATGCTGTCAGCTCAGACTTCTAGCTCTCTAGTTATCATAAATTTGTGAAAAATCCTAGCAACAATAAACAAGCAGTTTGCAACTGAGTAGCCTCTTTTACCTTAACTCAAATAGTTTAAAAAAAACATTTAAAAAGCCTTATGATATATCTATAAAGTAGGCAGGTATTATTCATTATAAAAACCTAAATAAATGAAGATCTAAATTTACTTGTYCAAAGTTACTGCTGCACAAGCCAACAGAAAACCAGAACCTCTGACTCCAGTCTAGAGGCACAGTCACTATCACCACATGGCAAACCTCCCTACTACAAAGCACTACACCACTACTGYGCACTCACAGTTCAGCATTTACCATGACCACCGCAGTCACTTCAGCAGCTCTCGGGATCAGCGTCCTAATTGTGAAGTCTTTTTCAAATGTACAAAAAATTAAATAAATACGGMAAATTCAAACATTTGTCAGGATGTTTCATTCAGCAGATGCTACCACAAAATACATAYGTATTTGCATTTGCTACAAATAACAGTCTTGTTGATACTTGCACACATAATGCATAACATTTTCACTTTAAAACTTTTCATTTTGAAAGGATGAATGTTGAAACAATAGTAACTGCCTACTAACCTTTGCCAGGTCCACCAAAGTGTTGGCTTGATCATTCAGTTTCCTTTGTTCCATTTTTACACTTCTTAATCTAAAAAGTGGAATTTTAAGTCAGGTGGTTTTTTTTGGTATGGAGCCATACTAGGRTTTCTAAAGAGCATGCACAAAACTTACAAGAGCAAGTAACTGCACGGACAATGCCTTGACTACTTTGTGTAGAGTCAGAATAGGTCATGTGCCTGCTACAATGAGAAGCATGCTTCTTCAACACCGCAAAAAAAGAAAGAGCAAGGAAATGTGATGTCCTTGGGAATACCATTTGCCATGGTCAAAGTTGAATTCAAAAAGGGAGATAACAGTTTATCCAGACTACATGAAAGAAAGCCAAAACATTCCTCAAAGCCTCAGTATCGTGACAAGTAGATATAGGAAGAAACATAGAACAACAGTTTTTTTGCCATTATTGTTGTAGTAATCAAGAATCTTCCCATGTCTACATGACTAGATACAGGAATTAGCCCTGTTCTGTCGTAAATGGATTGGGTTAGCAGGTGCTGGAACCTGATGAACATACAGTGATAAGTGAGTTTCTCCTTACTTTAAACAGAACTTCCATCTGACCAGCAGCTAAATAATCAACATGCTTGCCAATACATTTGGTTTTCTTAGATAATTTGTGAATCTAAATATGATTGCATTTTAAATTTTCATCAGACATTCTTTTTCAAAGCACTATTTAAAGTTCAGCATTGAAAAACTATGAAAGAAGCAGCAAGGGTATATTTTTTCTTTGATGCATACCTATGTGCATTATTATTAGTTATGCCTATTCTTTGAAAGATACATACATCACYTTTCTTATACATTCCCTGATACAAAGCCCATATTTTCCAGATTAACTGCTAGAGGAGTGGTTTGTAGATTTGATTTTCACAAATAGTCAATTTCTCCCTTAAGTATGAGTCATTTGTTCAAGATCCCATAATAGACACATCCTTGGACTTTCAATGACTTTTCCRGCTGTTCTAGAGCAGGAAACAGGGTTTTGCAAAAATCTATAAACAATGTGTGAGAAGATACCAGTATGAAAAGGGCCAACCAAAGTAACAATTTGATCAAGTGGAAGAAAGTTTGGCAGCATTTTGTGGCAGCTGGGTTGCTAATGCATGGTCTGCCCATTTTTCAGWAATGGTATTACTTAGAAAGCTAGTTCAAAGAAAGCCTTCTTAAAGGTATTCCAAAATCAGAAATTTTCTTTCATATCTTTAGTTTACAAGAATTTCCTTTCATGTCTTAACTGCCATGAGAAAATAAGTTGTGGAGAGTGAAATATCACTTTAAAATATGTTTTAAATATAAATGGAAATAACTCTGTTAAGACAGAAATGAATTAAACACATAAAACTGGCATTTCAGCAGATTGTTAGTGGAATGTCATATTCACTTCTTCCCCTGGAAGCTTCTTTCAGAGCACAACATAAACGTAGACTGTAGGAATGGTGTTTKCAGAAGCTACAAACTAGAGTTTTTCTAAAGCAAAAAATATGAAGCAGTCTTCAAGGTACAGAATTATGTCATTAGAGTCTTGTAACAGAATAATTATTCAAATGTAATGATTTCTGTGGAGAATGACAACCCCAGTGTTTTGGTGACCATTCTCTCAAATAAACTGCAGAATAYATGTTTTCTGCTTTCCATAAGGTTCATTGACTCATCTCTTTGACAGTCAGTATTGTAATTTTAAAATTCCAGGACRTCCATTGTTATTGTAGTAGTACAAGTACCAGTTGACATCAACATGATAATTCATGGTAACCAACCCAACACCTACCACAGGCTGTAAGAATGTATAGGTAATGGCAAGTCTTTAGCTGCAGCAGCCGGATTTAAAGAAAACCAAGAGACTGTCATTGTTTAATTCATTAGGATAAAATTTTGATTTTATGAACTTCACTTATCACAGAAAAAGACCATGATTCTGGATCGCGTTTCCATGGCAGCAATCAGACCACTGAAGTTCACAAATATAAACTCTATTTACTGCATGCAGACAGTGGTAAATTCTGCAAGTTTAGAAAGGAACAGCTTATACAACTTACTTCCGAGCTCTAGTTTCATTTTGTTGAAAAAAAGACAAAACAAAAGAAAACAAAGTGTAAAATATACTAAAACAACCAAATGAGCACAGTGGGCTCGATTCAGCAGGTGGAAAGTCCTAGGGAGTTGCTACTTCTTTTGATCAGTAGCTGCCTGAGGAGGAGTCGAACTCACTTGCATTCATGATGAAGGAAACTGCAATATCTTCAAGCCTTCTCATTAGCTATCATCTGCAGATTTTCTTATTCATACAATACATAACATGCCTTTTAATGATTTCATCTTCATCTTATCTAGTGTGCATGAGAAGCAAAACATCAGACCCACTGAAGGGATTTTAGAGCTGTGACTATGACTGTTATCATGATCTAGTCTGGTTTCTTTCATGAACTTGGCCCTCAAATGCTACATTTATTTTTGTCGCTGGTGAAATGGTTGGAAGGTGAAGGACGGGGGCCAATCTAAACTTAAGAATCAAGAAAGATGTAAATCTATAARTCACTTGAGACTCAAGTTCAAAGATGCAAAGGGATGAAACATTAATTTGCATCCATCTACTCAGCTACAGCAAGAAGAAAGCAAACTACTAGTGCAATGTTTTCATCCATGTGGACTCTTCAGCATATTGAGAAAATAATCTTTTGCTTGTTTTTCTTAAATACAAACGTTTTTTGCCTGTAGTGCAAAGTGGTAAAGGATAGAGAGATGATTAATGTAGCTGTGCAGTCTAGCTGTCACAGCTAGGAAAAAATTACTGTTGCCACCTTCTTCACCCCACCTGATTAATTCCTTTYTAAAGGAGGTGCAGAATACACTTTACATCCTGCTAAGTTCTTCTGGGCTTGAATGATATATAAAGCTGGAGATCGAGCCTGCTGTGCATTTTAGATTCTTTTCTGAACATATTTGCTCATACATACACACACACAGACACATGTACACACACACACACGGAGCATGAACAGTAAAGTTAAAATGTTAAGGAACAACCTTTGCAATCAAAGATTCAAGTCCAGCAAGGATGCACATGTCGTGCTCTCCTCTCTCCCAGAATCCCTGCTACTTCCCTCCACCTCCCAATACTTTAAACTAGGCAGGATGACCAAACTGGTATACAAAAATACATTTTTATATTCAAATAAAAATGCCTCAACTTCTGCTGTCTTTTTATTCCTTGAAGCACTTCCACAATGACATAGTAACATTTAATCCTGCAAATTTGCTAAACATAATACACTAATCAATGTTTACAGAATACTTCATAGCTTAAGCTTAGCTACCTACTGCTTTAAACATCGCTATAAAAGAGGAAAAAAATGATGGTTAGTCTAAACTGACTACAGAAAATGAGTTAACCTAGTCTTTCCTTCCTATCTTTCCTGCAAGATGCTACCTAGATGTTCATCATGGATGCTTCCCTCCCATCTCCACACTGGTTAGCTTAGACATAGACCTACACTCAAAAGTTAACAAACCATCAGTCTGAAATTAAGCTTACTTAATTTATATACTTCTTCCCTGTATCTCATGAGAACTATTTTCATAGGCTGTACAAATGGCTGCCTCAGACTGGATGGTGATAACAAATAAACAACCACGTCCTGACCATTCTTCAAAAGAATTCTGGTTACTGAGGACAAAACTTTGGGGTTTTTCCTCTCAACTATTCAAGGAATAGTAACTGAACCACTGTACAACTCCGCTCATTTTGATGTGCTTTATGACAAATACATACAGCAAATTTTAGATAAATATATGCTTACAGTTTGGTAATACCATGGTACAGCTTAATCCTATCAATGGTTTCAGATCTCAGGCTTGTTTTCAGATCCTCAAGTAGAAGGGAAGAACTCACTTGAATAATGCCAGAGGTGCTCAAAGGTCTCAACTATTGGCATACACTCCCATTTTCTAAATAGATGTCAGGAGTCATAGCTGACATACCAACATTTGATCTTATTACTGAGAGGCAGTTAAATGTTGTAGAGGCAATTAAACCCTGGTGGGCCAGGCAAGGATATTTGATTAATAATCTTTTCATTAAACACTACATAAATACGCTCTTCTATCACATCATTTTGATTTTAAAATATTAGAACACCGATTACAAAGAAAATTGTTATTTTAAAATTTTTCTTCTGTCTGTTGTAGCTTGCATCTTACTACCTGGAAGCAAATGCACAAAAACAAAGGATAGTCTGAGTGGCAAAGAATAAAATTCTAGATAATTCAAGAAGCATGGGAAACTTTTAAGAAACATTGACCAGTTTATATGGACATAAACTTCCAGCATACCTTTTTATCTTATTGAAAACAGGTAATATAATAAAATCTTATCTTTGCCTTACTCAGAAAGAAAATCAACCTCAAGAACAATCTTCTATGAAGGGAAGGGAATGGTGGGGGGAGAGAAGAGAGGGGGCAGGATGGGACTAAGAGTGACTAAAGGAGAAGGAAACTAACAAAAAAACCACTTTGAGACGAAAAACAAAGCAAAATAGTACTTACTGATGAATAGCTTGCAAGAATTTGCGTTGATGTTTCCTTACTTTTGCATGGTCTATTTTTTTAACCAGCTTTGTGTTTTTATAAATTAACCATGTTTCCCTGAGTACATTGGCCGCTGCATTTTTCACCTGTTTAATAAAAGAAAAACACCAGGGTGACAAAAGTAGCATTATGTTATGTTTTCACTATTCAGTGGTATTCACTGGTACTAATCCTTCCTAAATCTTCTAAAATGCTGTCTTAACTGTGGGATGTGGCTATCTCAAGAAGCTGCAGCACTGAGGGGGAAAGCAAGACTGGATGAAGGGGACTGCTGATCAATTTGCTTTTGATATAGATGTGATTTTGGGATAAAATCTTTTTTTATCCAGGAATTTTCTCTTTTAAAGAGTTGGAATTGTTTGGTGTTTACGGAAATATAAATTACAGCAAGGAAATGCTAATGCATTATCTATATGTTATTAAATGTATTTAATAGGATCACAACATTTCTCTTTTTCTTGTTCTATGGTTAGCACCTCTTAATTCTCTAAGCAATTTACATATTTTTCCTTTTGGTTGGTGTTTACATTTTTATATTTTTTTCTTTTTTAACATTCTCCAAGAAGATGAAAAAATACGTTGTCAATTAACATAGGCAGCGTTCTATTCAAAAAGTGCTTTGACTTTTTTTTTTTTTTTTTTAATGAGGCTTTCTTTAAAATGTTAGAGGTAAAAGTACTTATATTCTCTTTTTAGGCCCTCCAAAATTTTCAAGAATGCTTAGAAACATACAAATAATTTGAATGCAATGTTGCTTAATAGCTGAATGACTAGGTTACTTGCTAAGCAAAAYGTCCTAATAATTCATTTTTATTTTCTCTCCCTCCAGCTTTACATCATACCAGTAACTGCAGTGCCAGAACTAAGTCAATGGCTAAGACATTGCAGGAATGTCATGCAATAGCACGACCCAGCAGCAGGACCCCCACCTTTCACTTGTAAGTGCTGGAGAACCTTGTCCTGTCYTCAGTGAAAGCACAATATCACATTTTAGAGACCTCCTCATAATTTCTAACTAGCACCCTTGCATTTCCACAAGGTATGGCTATCTTAAGGCTGCGAAGAAAGCTGCCCACCATCTGCACAACAATTTGTGACCTGATGTGCATCTCAGATTTGTTTCCTTGGTTCACTTTTCATGTGCTTTGAGTTTCATGAGCTTAAAGCTATGAAAGCACCACTTGGATAAATTATTAGACTGACATTGAGATTTATATGAAGAATAGATGAACGGAATAAACTTTAAAARGCATAAATAAATAAACACCACACTCAAAATCTGGCCAATCTCTGGGAGACATTTTAGCCTCAGCTTTCAGATAACACTAGAAAAGTAACAGTGTTAGGAAGGGACAAATTGTCTTCTAYGGTCTAGTATCAACAAGACCTTAACTGACTGCAATAGGAGCTCAGACACCCTTTACACCTATATGAGAACTCTCTTCCCACTCATCCTTAGTCTTTCCCCGCTGTCACTGCTTAGAGGAGATACAGGCTGTTAGTGGTGAGCAGCAGGGAACCAGAGAGCCAGCACAGCCAGAGCAGTGTTCTGAGATACACAGCAGGTAAGGATCAGACAGGGCTCCCCTCAGCAGAGGACCCGTGGCAGTGCAGCGCTGCACTGCTGCAGCCATCCTCCTCCTCTCCTGGAGCAGAACTGCTGTCTCCATCTCAGCCATCAACATCCCTCTGCACCCAGCCATAAGGAGAAACTCTGCTCAGCTCCTGTGGTGTTTAGAAGGACCTTTGTCTCCACATTGGCTCTTCTCAATAATGAAAGTTAAACAAGCTGAGTGGACTGTACAGCTACTACTCATTCTCTTGTTCCCTCAAAACTGACCTGTTTTATTTCAGCAAAGAATTTCTGTTGCCTTGTTTGCTGCATTTTCTGTCATTTAAAATATTTCCATAAATACTAATGGTTTCTGTTTTTTTAAAAATAGGCTCTTCTAAAAATAATATATACAAACATCTTTCAAGGCCCTCCAGTACTGTGTGCCGCTAAATAAACCATGYGCTGCGTACAAAAAGCAATTAGAAACACTGCCACGCCCACAAACCCTGAATATATTGTTTTCTTAAGAACGTCCCTCGCAGCTTGAAATTCTCATTTTCATCTGTCATTTCTCATATTTTAGTTACAAAAATTTAGTTACAAAAATTGTATTTTCATATGCCATTAAACTTTTAGCTCAGTACAATAGCCTTGTTTCACAGCACTTAACTGCTGGTTACATCAATTACCTTCCAGCTACAAGGACACTCTATACAATATTCAAAAATCATCAAAATTTGTCGACAACTTGCAGTTGCCCTCAATTTAGATAAAAATTCAAGGCATTAAATTTCTCATCTTTCAAAATCACACCCAGGATAAAGCTCAGCAGGGATACCGAGCGGGAGACTACCTAGAAACAAATGCAGAAATAAATTAATACACAGTATTCCTTTTCAGTTGTGAATATAAAATGTGACTTACTCTTTTAGTTAGCTGGGTGTCCATCATGAAATTATGCACATGTTTTTCAGCTTTGGTAAGTTCTAACTTCCTTGCCACCACAGCTACCACCAGTGCAGTGCACCCAGCACCCTGAAAACAAYAGAAAAACCCCCAAGGTGTTACTACTGCATTTTGCCGAGTTTTTAGAGGAAGTTTCTCTTTTGCTGTAGAAATATGGCAGGCATCAGGTGACTCATCCCAGATAAACACAGTGAACATGCTGCAGCTATTTCATTTCAGAGTAGTATGAAAAGTCAGTATTTACAGTCTGGTAAATTGTCAAGGCACCAAAATAATTAATGAGCAACATAATTTAAAAGTTCTTTTTTCTTCCTGAAAGGTTTGAAAATTTGAATATGTCCCATTTCTAGTGCATAAACAAAGGGGGTGATAAAAACAACTTTTTAAACCCAGAATATTAGTAACAGAGTACCTGTTCTTAAAAATTTTCTCAAGGTTATAGCAATTGCTAAAAGGAATTAAGATTAGATTAGTATTTAGAACACACACACACAAAAGGGAAGTTTCTTAGGATTTTCTGTAGGGTCTAAAAATAATAGTAAAATTATTATTTACTCACTTTACTATATTTTCCTGTTGTTTTGAGTCTTTCAGTAACCTTTTCCTATATAATTTCTGCTTACCTTATTGCCATATAAAATAGAACATATAAACAAGACCATTTCTTCAAAACTTGGATGGAGAAAATACCAGTTTTCTAATTTGTGCTGTGTATATGTACGCACATGCATGTATATTCACTGGCATGCATGTTCACAGCAGGCTAATGCCAGAAGAAACCTGTCTCTCTGAAATGACAGTGCCTTTATCAACATAACAAATTTAAATGCTTTTCTTATGGTTTGGGTGAAATGCAAAGGAGGCTAAAATGAGCTAGGTAATAAGMAGCAGCATCTATTATACACATCTAGAGGTATAATTTACATTTTTTATGAATTCTGCCACCTTATAAACAAATTTTGACATGTTGTTTTTTTTTAAAAAAAAGCATCAATGTAATTTTAAATATATGAGGCTGCGTTTAACTTGCAGCTTCATTCCAATCTAATTCTTATTGTATTTGTRTCAGTTGCTCCCCAATATAAAGCAATCTGTCCATAGAAGCTTACCACATTCTCAGTCACAGARCTTTCTTCCATTCATTCTTCTGCTCATTCTGTATTTCTCCCATAAATTYATTCTCTATCCCTCATCTCTATAATTGCCTTACTCTCTTCAGAAACTCCAGAAGAAATATCAGAATTTAGCTTTCAAAATACAAAATCCAACAACAAACACAAAGACTGCAAAATAAAGTCAAAAAGGAAACCCTTTTTCACACAGTGTCCTCACAAAAATGAATCTTGTCTCTCTGTGTACTCACTGAGGCACACAATGAATCTTGTGAAAAACTTCAATTAATTATTTTTCCATTCCCCAGGTAGCTTGTTCCAAGAAATCCATCYGATCTCTCTCAAAAACCTAATTTTCTGCATTAGTTCTCACCTACCAAAGCTTCCATTCTCAACAGCTCTCAGCGTTCCTTCAAATGAGTCTCTCAAAATTTTGCTGCATTTCCTGCTTCTCTCCTGTCCTCAATACTAAATGTTTGCTGCTCTCTAGCTCTCTGTTCTACAATCTTGTGGTAATTGAAGTCCAAGGGAAATTACTTGAAGTTTTGCCCTCTCCATGAGTAAAAATGCTTCCTCTGCTTCTCCAGACCCCATCAACCATTAAAAAGGAAGAAGACAGCCCAAACAACCTAAGGCTAAGCAKTTCAGAAGTCCACTGAGCCTTCTGAGAAGAGGAATAGGCAGGAGATGCTCYAAGATATCCCACCTCCCCAAAACCAGACAGTGTTCTTTAGGTCTTCTTCCTGTCAAGGGAAATGCTCATATGCAGAAGACTTCTCTGTGGGCAAATAAATTAATAAATTAACCCATATAATAGCAAGGAATGTAGATAAAAGCAGGTATATTTGGTTCAGTATGCCAGGAAAACCAGGGCCAGATGCTGACTTAGTGACATAACTGAAGTGCTGCCTGCTCACAGCAAGAATGCTAGAATGGAAATGAGCTTATTAATACAGACCCCACTGGCATAAAACACCTGTTTAAGCCAATTTACTTGGGGAGAGAAATACTATACTGTTCTTTCCAGTCCCCCTCAAAAAGACTAGAGGAATGGTGACAGGCAAAAGAGTTTGGTTTGAGGCAAAAATCATTCCAGCCTTTGTGATTAAGTCTTATGCTTTTTCAAAGTGGCACAGCAGTTATAAGGGCCAAATGCTRTTAAAACCAGCAGTTTTATGTTTCACATAAAACATACTGCCTGCAGCGTCACAATTTTCTCACTGGCAAGCTATGACAACCACCTCTAGGGTGGATATGTACTGCTGCCTTCCTCACCTCCAGAACATCTTACTATGATGGCAAGACATTCCAGATTCAGTTTAAATCTCYTGGTTTTGTGGTGTATGATGGGATCTCAGGATATGCAAATAGAAGGCTTTTTAGCATTTCTCCAGAAGTAGGAAGTATCATGCTATCTGCATGTTTATATTTCACAGTGCTTTGAAGGAAAAAAAATAATTATTCATAACAGCTTACAACAATGAATAAAATTCCACTTAAACTACATGATGCTAATTAGTATCTTACATTACAGTGATCTGCAGTATTATCTGGSTCCCCTGAAGAGCTCAACATACTTAAAATGCCAATAAAGTGAGAATGAGTCCAAATTGCTGAAATTAAAGAGGCAATAGTTATTTTAAAAACTGGTAGTATTGTGTGCATGATACTTGCCATGGTTTTTGAATATACTGATTCATAGGAAAGTCAGTAGGTCAGGTTACGTGCTCAGCTTTTTTCTTATATCAACACTATGTAATGCAATAACAACATATTTATTAAAATTACTAAATCTAAATAAAAACACCAATAATTATTTCTATTAAAATTACTCAATCTAGGTAAAAACACTAATAATTATTTCAACTGCAGAATATTGCAATTATTTCAACTTTTGTTCTAGAGAACAAAATTCTACAAAGTCTTCTATTTGATTCCTGCATTTTATAATTTTCAACATCACTATTTATATCCTGTTTTGAAGAAAACAATAAAGTAAATCACTGCTTCAAGCTATTGTTTGGGAGAATTATATGTAAGACGCAGAAAATGAAAAAGGCAGAAATGCACATATTTTCAAGTGTCAACGCAGTAATCAATTCYATTTGGAACTGTAATTCCATAGTCAGCTGCCTGACCATCTCCTGCATTACAGAGTTATTGCARTGTATTTAGGCTTGGTAAGTAGCTTGATTTTATGGGTACTTAGGACATAAATTACTACAATACATGCAGTGTAAGCAAATTGATCAAGTCAAAGTTAAGGTTTGACTACACTGCTCATTTGCTCCCTTAATGGAAACAGGTAATAATAGCATTAACCATCCATTAATTAGGTGTTCAAGTAGTCTATGATCAAGCATTTGCTGGCAACTACCAGTTTTAAAAAGTGATGTACCTGAAATTTTGTATTTTCTGAAAGACTGTACACGTGGAATGAAATCATCTACTAAAGCATGAGAAGCGCTCAAAGATCACAGATTTARGAACAGGCTTCTCTAAAACAACAAGATTGGGACTTTGCTGATGAGCTSAGCAATGCCTATTTCCTGTTTGCAAGGACCAGAAGATGAAGCACATCCATCTCATCCTGAATGCACAGTATTTCTTCCTTGATGTGAAATGCAGCATATTAGACCACAGTAAAAGCAAGAAGTCTGAAAACAAACAGATCCTCAGCCTTCCAGCTGAGAAAATCAACCAACTCTGGACTTCACAGTGGCATCAGATCTCTGACAGTGATGTAGAACTTGCATTTGTGAGCAGTACAACCTTTAGTGTAAGGTTCACTACCATTTACACAGGACAGTTGATTGTCAATCTATTTAGCTGTTGTCCCTTATGAAAATACTTTGATGTGACTGCAAACAATTTGAGGACATTCTTTGTACCTTTAACTCTAAATGTGCTGCTCCCGTTAAGAACAAAGAATGGTGCCTCAAGTTCAAGTGCTCATGCAGRCAAGCAACAGCCTGTGAAAGCCATTCTCCAGTACCCTCTTTGATGCCTAGAATCCAAAGTCAATTTCCCTGATAGAAATGTAAGTAGAAGTATATGCTGACATTTTACTCATAAACACTTAGGCACTTGTTAAACACTAGTAGGTTAAAAATTTTCTCAGTTACATAAACCTAAATGGTGACTGATACTCCTTAAAAAATTAATGGAAGGATGGACTAAATTCAGGGGGGGAAAATAATGTCATAAGGCATTGGCTTCTTGATATCAAGCCCATGCCACTGGAGATGGGAAAAAATTAGAAAAGTGAAATTAATGATATTTTAAGTCATACTTTAAATTTAGCAACTGAACAAAATGCTTAAACATGATCCTCAGTAAAAAGTACAGCTATTATTTCATGTTATCTTTCACTCTACCCTCAGGCATCATAAACAGCAACTCTTCCCATCTTCTGCACAGTCTGTCCTCTTGACACTCAGTTTTGAATTATTGCAAGCCTCCTTTCAGCTGCTTTAACAAAGCACACTATGTCTTAGACACTTGAGAGATTGCTGCAATGGTTATTTTCTTTGTCATTCTTATGATGTTACTCTGCTCTGTGTTGATGTWGTCCCTTCTCTAYGGCATCRTATACAGAACATTTGCCCTCAGCTGCAGTATTTTATAACTCCTCACGGATTTCAGCTCTAATAAGCTCTTTCAGACAAGATCCTTTGCATCACCTCTTTACTTAGTAAAAGCTCCCAAGAAACACATAGAAATCTGATATATAGTTTTCTTTTAAAATCTTCCCCTCCTTTGTTTAGGATTTTACTTACTACAAATCCTAGCAAAAACAATGAAGGTACATCACATTCTGGTACGCCGAGATCATACATAATTCCTTGTTCCCCATCCTGTTTGCTTTATGGGAATGATAAACTGTTCAGTAATTTGGACTATGTATTTTTGCTGTCTTTATTCAGTACTGGTATCAATAGGATCAGGTGTTAAAGA